GAACCCCTGTGGTGGGTACATACTTCTAAATAGTCCCAAAATAGGACGAAACGGCTGGCCGTTCAGTACTACCTGGTAGTTTTTCACTGGCTCTCTAACTGATGTCAGATCATGATTAAATCCTCCATCCAATCTCATCATGTGGTCCGGAGTTCGATTCCAACCGGTGCACACCTTTATTTCCCCTAGCTGGTTGTAGGCCTGACAAGAAGATGGAAGGTTGAGCCTGAGGTTAATAGCCCCCCCCCCCACCTAAAAAAACACCATTGCTTCTGAAACTTCAAAGCACAAGCTTCAAGCCCTATGTTCCACTTCGGAACGTAAGGGAATGGAATAATACACGTTTATAGCGAATATTTCCATTTAGACATTTATAAAACAAAAGAAAGTTTGAGGAAAGAATATTCTCCTCAATAACTTCACCGGCTGGCTCTACAGTTGTATATACACATTATATTTATTTATTATTATTTTACTCCTTAATAAATTGCGACAAATCTTAAAAGTTACGTAATGCTAAATAAACGTGAAGTGGACAAATAATCAGAGTTTAAATAAAAATAATAAAAACAAGAAAGAAATGGAAAATATGAAAGGGTTGGAGGGTTTTAATTAGAACTCACCTAGGCTAAGAGAGAGACACATTTCTTCACTTTTGTACCAGTTCGATAAAAAAATCAAATTGGTCAGGTGCCTCACGAATAGAGTAAGAAAGATCTGTACAGATGACTCTCTAGGAAATAAATTAGGATACATCCAAAAATACGCTGCCCAAATGGGTTATTCTAGTAGATTTTTAAGGAGACACATGAACACCAGGTATAACAAAGCGAAACAACTGTCCCTAAAATTACAATTTAATTTAATGGGGATGTGGCTGGGGTGAAGTCCTACATTTAGGATTATCGAGAGCAATAAAACGTACTAATACTGCCACAACGCTTTGTTTGTCATTTTCCAGCTGCCAACCAATTTTGACTGCTCAAGCGAAAGACAAGCTATCTAGCTGTGCCACTTCTATGTGTATCTACAAATTCAGTTGCTCTTGTGGAGAGAGAGCTATATAGGGCGAACAACTAGGCAGCTGAACAAACACAATAATGACCATCTTCCTTCATGGTTCGGAAAAGGCCAATTAAAATCTATAAGAAATCCTATTTTAATTCATTTGATTGTTAATAGTGGTCATTAAGTGGACAGAAGTAGTATCTTCGATGTTACCTATCATATTCCAATCTAGCCTTTCGGATGAAATTCCAATCCGCCTTATACACAGAGCTGTAGCTATGGGAATCAATTCGTGAGAACGATCCTAGTCTTTGCATACAACAAAAGAAGTTTGTTCTACCTTTGTCTCTTCCTTGATTGGCTTAGGTAAATTCTAATTCAAAACCCTCCCACCCCTTCTTATTTCCCATTTCCTTAGTACTTCTATGGTATTTATTTAAACTCTGATTATCTGTCCACTTCACCTTTAGTATTAATTGACTTTTAAGATGTGACCTAATTTATTTATTGAATTGTCTACATATACACACACATTACTACCTTTGTTATTCTTATCGCCAACCGACACAAACCTTATTATCAATATTTAGTTATCATTATAATCATCGTTATTACTGACATTCAAAACATTTGCCACATTACTATTATTATTATTATTATTTGATCAACACATTTAAGCGAACAGTGATACTGTGCTTTCAATTAGATCTCATCAGATTTATCTTTAATATGCCTACACAACTTCACAAATAAAAATTCCAATATAAACCAATCATCATGGTGTTTTGTCTATAGGATAATAAGATAGTGAATATAAATTGTGCAATTAGTCATAACAGTTGTAATGATAATAATAATAATAATGATAGTTGATAGTGGTCATGTAGTGCAGAGAACGAGAGCTTTCAAAGTAATTCATCGTATTCCACCGAATCTTTCCAATAGACTTCGTCTTAGTCTCCTGCACACAGTTGAGGCAGGCGACAGGCATTCAAACTATTAAGCCCCTAAACTAGGCATTCAAAAGAAGTTCGTACACACAGCCATTATCCCTCCATTGCTGGCCTATCAGGACATAACCAACTGATGACTTCTACACCACCCCTACTAACTTACTTATATTTTCAACCCTCCTCTCTTGTCATCCCTTAATCTTATCACATCTTCATTAAAAACATGTTTCATTTATTTCCCTTACAATCTAGCACTACTTTATCGGTTTATTTGTTTTTCCTAGTCCTTATCGACTACCACCTCTACCTGAACACATTTGTTTGTTTAATCATGCTGTTTTTCATTATTCGTGTTATCACAGATCGCCTCACTTTTTCATCCTTATTACTGATAGAACCACTATTATTATTATTATTATTATGGCTAATTGCATAATTTATATTCACCATCTTATTATCCTATAGACAAAACACCATGATAATTGGTTTATATTCGAATTTTTATTTGTAAAATTATGTAGGCATATTAGAGTTAAGCCTAATGAGATCTAATTGAAAACAACCAATATTCTTCGCTTAAATGTGTTGTTCTAAATTTTACTATGGGAATATTTAATATTATTTGATCCATAAAATCACCGTCATTAGTTAAAACCGTCATTTATAAATCTATGTAAATTAGAGTGAAGCCTGAAGAAGATCTAATTGAAAACAACAATACCGTTCGCTTATATGTCTTCTTCTAATATTAACAGTGGAAATATTTAAAGATATATATATATATATATATATATATATATATATATATATATATATATATCAAATTCACAAGAGAAGAAGAATCCGGGAACCAAATCCCATTTTTGGACGTCTTAGTCAAGCGAACAACCACAGGGGAATTAGAAACTCAAGTTTATAGAAAATCAACTCACACAGACCAAATACTGAATTACAACAGCAACAATCCAATAACACACAAAAGGAATTGTATACAAACACTATTCAAGAGGGCAAGGACTCATTGCAGCACTCCCACCTTAAGGAAAATTGAAGAAAAATATCTCATGGACGTTTTCCAAAACAATGGATATCCGCGAAATTTCACCAAAAGACATATACCCCCAAGCCAACCTATCAAACCAAAAGCCTCCAAGGAAAGCACAAAGAAAATCGCCTTACCATATATAAAGGATATCTCAGAAATCACTACAAGACTCTTCAAACCCTTAGGAATTGACGTCGTACACAAACCAACAAAATCACTTCACTCAGACAGCTCCGTGTCAACCAAAAGACTCAAGAGCGAACGAAGATAAAACCAACATCATCTACAAAATAAATTGTAACAACTGCGAAAAACACTACATTAGCCAAAGTGGACGTCCCCTTCGTCTTCGTATCCACGAACATAAGCTAGCCGTCAAAAGACATGATATCCACTCCCTCATATCACTACATACAGACAACCGCGGACATCAATTCGACTGGGACAACGTTCAAACATTAGACAGAGGAAACAACAAGAATGCTAGAGAATTTTTAGAAGCTTGGCATTCCAGCGAATCATCAATCAATAGACACATCGAGATAGACAAAATTTATCAACCGATAAGAAGGAAATCTTACACACAAAGGGTCAAAGTTCATGTCGAAGAAACAATCATTTCCAATATAAGTAGCCTAGAAGGTGTGAAAACACAGAAAAACAACCAATCACGTCCAAGGTCACCGGGAAAGAGGATTAATAAACTCGTAGAGAAATCGAAAAGCTGACTTCAACGAATTGAAGTGTATGCGCTGAAGATGTCACCCAGTAGGGTGATGAAAGCTTCGCAAATCAACCATCTAGCTCAGAGAGCACAACCACACCAAAATATATATACCACTGACTAATTGGTGGGTGTATTTGGAAATTACTGACGCTAATAAGTAGTAGTGATCAGATGAAAAATATGGTCCGATTATCAATTTATTTATTTATTTATATCTGTACTGTGAGTGATAAGCCTTTTTTTGTAGGGGGGGGGCATAGCTAAACGATTACAACCTATATGACAGGAATATTTGAAATTGTATCTCACAGGAAGTATTCTATATATCTTCAGGTCATTTATTGTCATCTGAATAATAATTTATGTTTCAGCTTAGACCACAGATTGATTTCAGTTAAAGAATCATTAAAAACCACCTGGGAGTACTAGACAGCTGCTGTTTCATCCTAGTTTTTGGAACTCATCATCTCAGTACACAAACCCCATCGAGTTTCGAACCCAGGATCTTCCGATTACAAGGCAAACTCATATACTATTCAGCCAGCCCATTAATTCTAACTTCTACCATTTCGTGATTTTTAGTGCGACTACCAACCAGTGTCATTGGCGGTAAATCCATCCTCACTCCTGACTGAATGGACCTCAGTGGTGACGACTTCTCACGAAAAACTCTAAGCAACTTCGTGCTGTAGCCAGTCACTCACTGGCAAGCATCGAAACCGAGTGGGTGTGTGAATCCCAAGTGACTAGGACGACATAGCTGTCGAGTACTCCAGTACTGGTTTCCAATGGTTCTCTAACTGATATCAATCCGTGGTCTTACCTGAAACGACTGGAATTCCTATGAAATAATTCTTGAAAAAAATAATCTATGTATCCAAAGGAGACTATGGTGAAGTTTTACAACCCAAACTATGTATAAATTGTAAATCGCAAATTCAGCTGAAGAGTTCTGCCGAAATCTGATGAATTCATGCCAATTGAGGTTGTTCATTGTGTCAGTATTAATATTATACCCAGGCAACAGTTCATTCAGTCGCATCAACTGTCAACGAGATTATATCAATCAGCGGTATAGATTATAACACGTATGCATACGAAAGGGAAGCGGCGAGTGGGACATCGGTGTAAGGGTGACACATGGAGGAGATCGTGTGAAGAGGAAACAGTATGAAACAGTCTGGACTAACACGGATGCAGGTGAAAAGTACAGCAGAAGGAAGACAGAAGCAAGATTGGGAGACGTGCAGTTGAAGCCCTTTGTTGTACTAGGAACCCAAGGGAACAATAATAATAATAACAATAAATAATAATGAATACTGTTTTTATCCTGATTAATTATTAATAAGAAAAGAAGAAATTAAGTTGTTAAATAATAATAATAATAAAAACACATATTGTATAAAACACTTATATCAATAAATTGCAAATTGCTTGATTATATATTACACTGTATGTAGAAAGGATTAAAAGATAAGCATTAGAACAGAAATGTATATATATACCCAGTTATCAACCAACCAATAAGTAGGCAGACGCCTTCACATTCAGCTTCATTCTTCTAAAGCGGCATATTAGAATGCTTTTTCCAAGGGTTTTCTAATTTCTTATTTGTTAACAATTCAAGATCATGACATAGACGAGCACGTGTTAAATGCGGATCAATAATATCGTCGACATAACCACGACTAGCTGCTGGAAAAGGATTGGCAAATGCTTTTATATAATCTTCTTCAGCCTGGGCTTGATTTTCTTTCCCCTTGAAAATAATCTGTACTGCGCCTTTTGCACCCATGACTGCAACCTTTAGTGTGTTTTTTTAATTTGAAATAATAATAATAATAACTTTTAGCTAAGTTGAGTAATTTAAAATTATAACGAAGATTTATTGTAAAAAATTATATTTGTAAAATCTCAGTGAGATTGGAATGAGTAATTCCAACATTTCCTGTGTTCGACAATCTGGTTCGAACTTCTACAGAGAAATTAATCGAAATTAACATAACACAGGTTTACATATAAAAAGGGGGACATCTCTTGTTTTTAAAAACTTTGCCCAATCATCAGTCATAAAACAAGTATAATAAACAAAATTGTATGATATTCAAGTGGTGGTTTGTAGGGATTTGATTGGTTACAGGATTTCATCGTTAGCTGACATTAGTTAGAGAACCATTGGAAAACCTGAGAGTACTGGACAGACAGCTGTTTCGTCCTGGTTTGGGACTATTCATCAGTATGCACCCACCGGGGTTCAAACCCAGGATCTTCTGACTACAAGGCAAGCGAGCTCGTATACCATTTAGCCACTGGGACCTGATCCAATAGCCCATGAATTCTAACTTCTGCCAATTCACGACATAGCGCGACCCCTAGCCGATGTCTTCGGCGAGTATTTGTATGAGCTGTGATCAAAACTTGACCTTGAACTTACAAATATTCATCTACCTTTGTTAAACACTTTAAACAGCGTGATTTGATTTGTAGTAGTATTTTCCATATTTCCAATATGAGTGGTGAGTCATTTCTATTGCACGTGTTGGGCGTAGACTCAATGAACCAGGATTCAGTAATCAATCTCTCTCCACCTACTTCTTAGAATTTTAACCGTCTCCCACTCTATTGTGTGTTTGTGTGTTAATGCATAGAGTGCAATTGCTGAGCTTTTTTCTAAATTACTTCTCTTCTCGAGGTCAACCATTCTTACCTTAGCTAAATTATTATGTTCCGACAACCTGACTACCCCCGACCTACTAGTTTGACCTATGTAGTTGACGTCACTCACAGTCATTGCAAGGTATTTTGTAAATTATATAATTTTATTTAATTGGGTAAACCTGCAGGGCACTTTAGCCTACAGAGCTTGTACTAAGTGAGTTTGTTGGTTTCAATACCACCCTAGTTCCTGCTTTATTGAGAATCCTACGTCGGACGTCAGATGCCCCCTCCTTATATGGTATAACAGTAGATGCCCCATATAAGACATCTAACACTAATATTAATTCTGAATGTAAATTATCATATATTGATTTTATTCAGATGTCTAATTATCAATTTCACTCATGTATATAAATGAAGCAAGAAAGTTGTATGAGTGACTTGATATGATTATGAGTGGCAATAGTTTGTGCACGAAACGTGGTCATCATTTATTATTACTGTATAACACTGTGTGATTTATCAAAATAAAATCTTATCTATAATCGCTGGAAAGTTGTTATCTGAACTCTTTAACAGTTAGTGATGTCTATCAGTGATTCTCTTTTTCTCTATTTGGTTACTAAGAAAGAGCTTTCAATGAATGACCCTGTAGTGCATCATCTATGGCAAAAAGTAGACCTAGGGTTAAAATACATAGATGCCCTATTAAATGACCTGAAACCGTCAATAATGAATGAACTTTGATCTTCTTCTCAAAATCCTTCTTTGCGACTACGCGTTTGTAGTCTCTGCCAGTCATGTTTTATTCACACTGCCTTAATCTGGTAAGGATAATCTTCACAAGAGTGAAAGGGCGAATGCGAACGTTTAGCGCTTACAACCAGACTAGTGGATATGCTGGTCTATGTAGATCTGGAAAAACCTTGATTCCAAATGTAGGCTGTACATAAGCGCCAGACTCCGAAAGAATCGAATTGTGTATGAACCTGCTTTGGTCACTTGGAGACCACGGAAACACTACTCTTGGATTGGGGGGGGGTTGGTTATTTAAGACAAACAACCACCTGTTTTGGGGTGGGGTCTGGGCATCCGAGGAGTAATTTACCCCTCGCAAAACCTATGAGTTTTTGTGTAACACATCTCTTAATGTCTAAAATGTAATAAGTTTGAGATTTAACAAATAAATAAATAATAAAAACATCATCAGCTAGTGGTGCTTGTTTTTCGGTCAAACGGAAGTGTTCCAAATGCACCTAGAGGATCATTCCGATCATTTGCAGCCACATAGCTCACTGATTAAATAAGTAATTAAACTCACTGCGTTTAGTAAGACTGATATGGTGTAACATATCAACAGTACAACTAATAGCGTCCTAACACTTATATTACACTTTGTTTTCACTCAATTCTGTTTGCAAAAGAAGGCCAAATAAAAAATACACAATTTTACACTTCAGAAAAGGAGACATTTCAGATAATTTATGATGTTTATGAATAGACTGGGGTGTATAAGTGACTTAAACTGCATTTTTGTGATCACCGTCGTATTGGCATAAGTAATTGTTTATCCCCCAATATACCAGAAGGGGGACAAGTCTTCCTGTAATAATCCCAAGGGGATTAGCTTGACTAATACGATATCCAAAGTTCTAGACTCAATGACCATGCGTAGACTAAATGGTGCTTGGGAGAAACAAACATGAGAGAACTAGGCAAGCTTCTAATCACGAAGAATGTGTATTTACCCTTTGACGGATTCTTGACAATGGGCATACTTACCGGTGTCCAACAATCGTCATATTTCGACCACTAGCGAATGTTAACTGCAAGTATTTCCCCTCATACCCCACCTACTGTACCCCAATGGTCACAACTACCCACTACAGCCCAGGTAACTATTACCTACCTGAATAGGGCCAGTCACTAGTCAACATCAAATTGGTATTCAAGTGTTGGTTTGCAAGGATTTGATTGGTTTCAGGATTTCATCATGAAATGTCCAACCATATCATGAATTAGCAAAAGTTGGAATTCATGACCTAGTCATCGGATCAGGTCCCAATGGCTGAATGGTCTACGAGCTGGCTCACCTGGTAACCAGAAGGTCCTGCTTACGAACCCTGACAATGGGTGCGTATTGATGAAAAGTCTCACACTGGACTGACGAAACAGTCGTCCAGTACTCCCTGGTAGTTTTCCAATGGTCCTCTAACCGATGTCAGTTGATGATGGAATCATGAAAACAATCAAATCCCTGCCAACTAAAACTTGAATGTCTCTATTTCGGTTATAATTGATTAGTCTAACTTTTTGCACTGTTTGTACTCCTTCTGTATTTTTGCAGTGTTATTCTACTCTTGCAAAATGAACTGTCTAGTCAGCTAAAGTATGCTTAAATTATTTCTCACTCTGGTTATTTATAGTTGTTCAAATTTAAGAAGTGAACCAAACTGTATAAAGATGTAAATTAGTAGGATTTGACAGACTGATTCCAGGCGGAGGAATGTTAGACAAACTAAGGGACAAGATGACCTATGTGAAGCTCAGAACGTTTTATCGAAATGGATTATATATATATATATATATATATATATATATATATATATATATATATATATATATATATATGATGGCCTGACTGGTTTCAACGTAGAACTTTGCACAGATGTACACCAGTTTGAGTTGCCATACCCCCTCTCCATAGAGTACACAAAGCAAGAGAAGAGAGTAAACAGACATTCAAAAGAGAGAGAGAGAGAGAGGGATAATAAACAGAAGTGTCAGTGAGGCAAACAGAATAGTAATATGGAAACACAATAGCGCTGTATGGGATATGACAAATCACATAGTGTAATAATAATAATAATAATTTTTCCTTCACGTTCCCAGTGGAACATAGGGCTTCAAGCTAGAGGCTTGAAGTTTCTGTAGCAGTGTTTACTTTTACAGGATGGGGTTGCTAGCCAGCCTCATGTCCAACCTTACCTCTTTACTAGCATTGTTTTTGGATAAGCGAGGTAAGGGAGTGAGTCAGCCGGGGATCGAACCCCGGACCATGTGCATGGTCGGCGAGCGTCCTAACCGGTGTGCCAGCGAGGCTTATCACATAGTGTGAATGTATCTAATTGTGAAATACTTCGGAAAACAACTATTCCATCAACTCATTACTGAATCAATATGAAAGGGATGCTTTTGATTGGCATTGCATACTTTCTGAGCATTCCTTTCCTGGTCAGATATCGTAACACAATACCTATCTGAAGGACCATACTAACTCATTGAAGAGAAGAAGAAATCCGCTGAATTCAACAAAATGAAACTAAATACAAACAGACTCCTTCAAGAAATGAAACCCAAAATTGGAAATTCTCTCTGGTTTAAACTAAAACCAAAATCATATATACCTTCAAGATTCTACGGTCAACCAAAGATACATAAACCCACAGTTCCATTAAGACCAGTAATAGATTTCACCAACTCACCGACATACAACCTCTCTAAATACTTACTCTCGATACTACAACCACTACAAAAGGACACTCAAAATATTGTAAGAAATTCATATGAAATGGATGGGAAAGTTCCAGAATAATATCCGGTCAAGGGTCAAATTAATAAAAATTAAAATTGGGAATTAGAATGCCATAATAAACAGGGGGATGGATAAAACAAACAAAATAGCATTAAAATAACTAAGAAGACTGACATTGTGCAATTAGGGGTTAGAAATGTAGAAGTAACAAAATAGACAGGATGTTTGGATAAAAACTAATGTGATGAATAATTGTTTATGCAATCAGGGATTAAATGTGTAGAAATAGTAAAATGACAAAATAAACACTAAGTTCGGGTAAGAAAATATGGTAGTGTAAACAGGGATTAAGAAAAACTTGAAATAACATGAATAAACAGGAAGTTTAGATAAGAAAGGCGATGGGATGGTGATTACTAAAAATTACCTCAACGTGCATATACCAGTTTACTTGCTCTTGTGGAGCTGAGTACGTTGGCCGTACCATGCGCCGACTTGAAAAACGCGCTCGTGAACACTATCCAGCCTGGCTAGTAAAAGGAGAACGAAAACGGGTAAATAGTTCGGTGATAGAACACCTGGTGAATTCAGGACATTCAGAGCCACTCGAAAAATCCTTCAAAATCATTTACAAGATTCGATCAAACCCATCAAAGGGAGTTAAATCAAGACATCTGGGCATAGCCGAGGCGCTAGCTATACAAAAGCTCAAACCCACGCTTTGTATACAAAAGAAATACGTCCAACCCTGTCCTTGCCATGGCCATCATAAACAAGTAATTTTTAGTAATCACCATCCCATCGCCTTTCTTATCTAAACTTCCTGTTTATTCATGTTATTTCAAGTTTTTCTTAATCCCTGTTTACACTACCATATTTTCTTACCCGAACTTAGTGTTTATTTTGTCATTTTACTATTTCTACACATTTAATCCCTGATTGCATAAACAATTATTCATCACATTAGTTTTTATCCAAACATCCTGTCTATTTTGTTATTTCTACATTTCTAACCCCTAAATTCATATGATTTCAAATCCCAGATAGAACACCGAGAAATTGATAAAGAAGACATTATGGTAAGCTATGATATTAACTCATCATATACTTGCATCCCTGTTACCGAAAGTCTTGGTTCATTTCCCGTCTACTAGAATCAGATACAACACTACCTCAAAGATGTCCACTGGACACCAGTGAAATAATTAAGAGTTTGAAATTCTGTCTAGAAAGTAATTATTTTACATTTAAAAGGAGTTTATATAGACAGAAAAAATGGTGTTGCTATGGATTCACCAGTCTCCCCAATAGTCGCCGACCTTTTCATGATTAAATTCGAAAATAACATCTTTTCAAGCATACTCACTCCTAAAATATGGTTAAGATATGTGGATGATACTTTTGTAGTGCTAAAACGAGATCTACACAATTCGTTCCTGAAGAAAATAAACTGTGTATTGCCCAGAATCCAGTATACTTTGGAAGCAGAATCAGATGTCGGTGAACTACCATTTCCAGACTGCCTAGTTAAGAGAAAGGAAAACGGACATTTTAGTATATCCATACTCAGGAAGAAAACCCACTCCAATAAATATTTAGACTTCAAATCATCACACCCCATCAGCGCAAGGATTTCAGTTGTTTCAAGTCTTCTTAGACGAGCACACTGCCTGATAACGGATGAGAAAGAAAAAGAAGAAGAAATATCAAACATTACTGAAACTCTCAAGCAAAACACCTACCCAAGGAACTTCATCAACAAAATCAACACAGACATTAAATGTGACCGAAAACACATTCCGAAAACATGCACATCAACAGTCGTCATCCCATACAGAGCACAGACGTCAGACGATACCAGAAGAGAAGAGTACTCAATCAGCTCGACATTAGAGTTTTCTTCAAAATATTAGCCACACTTCAAAACAACCTTGTCCATATAAAATACCAAATCCCGAAAGATTATCTATCTAATTGTGTCTATAAAATAAAATGCCTGCTTGGAATGTGATGCGATATACATCGGACAAACATCTCGAGAAATCAAAATCAGAAGAAATGAACACTGTAGAGCCGCATATATTCGATCGCCGAGAAATCCAGTTGAACTAGAAAAACTTGAAAAATCACCAGCCATAGCTTGTCTACATGTTATAGAATCAGGCCAGAAAATGGATTTTGACAATATTGAAATAATCCAGAAAAACTTCACAAATCACAAAGAACGTCTAATATCAGAAGCTAGCACTTCATACCAAATGGAATCTAAACTGTCCGAGCTGAATAGGAATGATGGACTAAAACAGAATCTGACCTGGTTACAACACCATCCCCTCCAATGCTTGAAGTGGCGAAATCAAGACGAATGCGATAAGCAAGTTCACTATGTAAACACACACTACATTTATAATTTTACACACACTGATCAAATCCAACAATCTACACTTGATTTTGTTATCTTTACCAATTGACCAACTTGACAACAAAAAACGACCCTAGACAGACGAACGATGATCAAGTTAGTAAACTTTGTTTTGATATCATAACAGACGTACTATTACCTTTGTTATTTGGTGTAGTGATCTTCATTGTTATTTTGACTTTTAATATGTCCTTTTAAGTTGACCTAAGTAGTCTATTTTCTCACCCCCTAACTCTTTGCTATATATATATATATATATATATATATATATATACTGAGTGGATTTTGTAAATTCCGGTTTAATAATACTTTGATAAAGCTATTAGCAGCAGCATTAAATTGCGAAACGTCAGTAAAAACAATATCGTTTTGTTTTTCATTCATTGGGAAATACAAAAACCTTTATTATAATGAACAAAACCTTGTGACTGACTAGATATTTGAGAAGTGCAGAATGTTAGTATACTTGCATTCCAGAAACGGTGAAGATACTCCACTGAATGTCTCAGATAGACAAGTTGATCCGCCTTTAGTTATCACAAAAATAATTTAAATTTTTTGAGAAACCAGGAAGATATATATATATATATTCCTGGTTATCATTGGCTGGCGCAGATGCATTCACTTTATGTGATCTATCATCTCCCATCAAAACGCTATTTGTTTTTCCATATTACCATTCTTTTGCCTGACTAACATTTCTGTTTACTGTCTTCTTTTGCTTTGTGTGTTCTATGGAGGGAGTTTCGGCAGCTCGAACTGGTGCACATCTGTGCAAAGTTCTACGTTGAAACCAGTCAATCAGTTTCAATAGACTTTCTCTTACTTACTAGTCCAGGTGAAAAGACTCCTTAGATTATGCACAGAGAAGTATTATAATGCCAGTTGATTGCGAACTAAACGGTCAAATGCCTGCTGTCTTATTTCGTATGCATTAAATAATTTAAATAAAATCAATAAACTACTAAGTGCCTTTCTCCCTACCTACAGTTCTACATATTTAATCGTTTGCTTTACAGTGGTAAAAAAACACTTACCTCAGCAGTTGGCCAAGCATAATTTATATCTCCACGTAAATGCTTAGAGCTCATAACACAATACGCGCCACCATATGACTTTCTAGTTACAACAGTTAACTTAGGAACAGTTGCTTCAGCATACGCGAATATCAGCTTTGCACCATGTCTAATTATACCCCCATATTCTTGACTAGTACCTGGAAGAAATCCTGGAACATCGACCAATGTTATCAAAGGAATGTTAAATGCATCACAGAATCGAACAAAACGTGCTCCTTTAACAGAAGCATTTATATCCAAACAACCAGCGGAGACTTTTGGTTGATTTGCAACAATACCAACAGTTCGACCACCCATTCGTGCAAAACAAACTATAATATTTTTAGCATATGTAGGCATAATTTCGAAGAAATCGCCTTCGTCAACAATATTCTATTTGAGAAGAAATGAAGGGAAAACATAAGGAAAAAACTTTTCGATTAATAATTCTTTTACGGCAGTGTTTGTACATCGAGAGAGAGAGAGAGAGGGAGAAAAACTAATGTAAGGCGAGCAAATGTAAACGGTATGTTAATTCTTATTATTATTTTTCCCTTGGGTTCCGAGTGGAACACAGGGGGCTTCAATAACACATCTCCAATTTATTCTGTTTTTTTGCTGGTGTCTTTATCTGGGTTCAAGATTGCCCATAATCTTTCATCTCCTCGCACGGTCTCCTCCACGTCAACCTCGGATGACCCACTCGTCACTTCCCACTGAGATTCCACTCGAGTGATGGCCTCGCGATAGCGCGGATGCCCAATCCATCTCCATTTTCTCCTACATATTTGTTGAGTGATCAGCTCTTGATTGGTTGGTTGGTTGGTTTCCATAGTTTCTCATCGCTTATTCTTTCTGGCCATTTGATCTTCACTGTGGAGCCAGAGAAGTGAGCAGATGTTGATGAAAGTCTGTGTTATGTACTAGTTTTCCCCGTCGCCAAATTGTTATGTACTCGTCGCTAAATTATTGTTATGGACTGGTCGAGAAACTAATAGTCCTGACGCAAGAAGGCGGAAATCAGAAGACCACTAGGTTTGCGATGATACTTCTATTGTCCAAACACAAGGAGAATGCAAAAGTGGTATCACACCAAAAGTAAGTAAGTGTAGTCACACAAATTGTGAGAGACGAAATATATATATGAATGTCCAGACAAAGGGTGTGAACAAATCACTAGACAGTCTTAACATGAATGGCTAATTATAATGAAGTATCGATCCATATATACATATAGCAGACATGTCAACAACCAAACATATAATATGGATATATGTCACCAAGCAACGGACTGTCAACAAACACTCATATTATATATAATATAATATAAGGAGAATATACATTGTTAAAGGAGACAAGTTCATACAAGTGAAATGGTCACAGACTAAGCGAGCAAACAGAAAGAGAGACCAACATATACACACACACATAAATATATATATATATATATATGTATATATATATGTGGATACATATCAGTCTGCAACCCGCTGGAAATCCTTTTAGTGAAATGCTGGTCAAGTTTAGGACCCCTACGAAAGAATTGATTGACTTCACATCTGTTTTCAAAATCTAAATCTTGTTCTATATGCTGGCTGAGTGAAGCAGAAAATATCCAAACTGGTTTTAGATTGATGAAGGCGTATCTCGTCTTTCCGATTCCGACTTGATTTGACTTATTCATCCGTTCCGCTAGTTGTAGTTGAAACCGTGTTTCCTCGCTAGATAAGTAAAGGAAGTAACCTCTGTCAAATCTCTCCCGTTGATGGCGATTGGTGCTGGTTGTTGTTGCTATTGGTTGGTTATCTTCATCACCACAGTCTTCTCTATGTTCACCTGGAGTTCTGTCTTCGCTGCCTGCTTCCTCTGCCAGTATTTTGGTTTTCGCCTGCAAGTCTTCGAGTTTGTGTAACATTAAACATAAATCATCCACCCGAGAAAGCCAGATCTTCTAGAGTATTCTTATCGGTCAGTCCAACGTATTCCTGTCTTCTCACTCCCCACAGTCTGACGCATAGTCCAGACCACCACAATTATATCATCGTGGGTGATAATTGGTGGCCAGCTTGTCTTACTCCTGTATTCACGTCAAAGGCTCCACTGAGTTTTTCGCTGTGGATCACCTGACGCATTGCCAAATAGCCACCGGTTGTTGGATGAGAATGATAAAGAATTGGGTACTGCACACCAGAGTGTTGAAGCGGTTTCCAAATTCCTTCTCGGTCAACACCGTCTGTCGAAGGCTTTTCGAAGTCGATGAGGGATGTTTAGGTAGAGGTTTGACTGCCATTCTATACTTTGTACTGTGATGATGACGCGTAGAGTTACAATTTCATCAGCACACCATTTGCCTTTCCTGAATCCAGCTTGTTTCAGAGGGCAAAGTTCTGCATCTAGTGTATCATTTATTTTCTCCAGGATGACGCGATTTAGTACTTTATTTGGCCTAGATAAGAGCATTATTCCAGGCAGTTCTTGCACAGGCGTAAGTCGCCCTACTTTGGTAGCTTGACAGGGTATCCTTTCTTCCAATCAGTAGACACTTTTCCTTCATTGAGAGACCATTTGCAAGAAAAAGGGTATAGCATGACTGAGACTGTTAGAAGACCATAAAACAGATAAAGTAACACTCAAACCGCGGTATTAATTTTATATGAGAAAAAGGCGTAATTGTGTGCATGCGTTACTTGAACTAAACTATCGACTTCAGGATGAACTACAGTAAACTTTCTTAACCACTGTCCAACAATGCTGAGTGAAATTTCTTCATTCTTATTACAATTAACGCCTACTAAAAATGACGGGCCATTGACTCCTGTTCAAGTAACTGAGTGGTCAATAAGCTCGCCCCATAACCTGAAAGTCCTAGGTTCCATTATTGACGGTATTAGGGGTGTCTATTGAGGAACAGTCCCCCCAAAAAGACGAAATACTTGTCCAGTACTCCCTCGATCTCAGCGGTTATCTAACTGAAATCATCTTGTGATTACACTTGGAATACATGAATTCTGTTAGGCATATCTGCCTTCCAAAAACAATATGCTTTATCCATCTCTACTGGACTATTGTGTGATTTTTGTTTTAGAAATATTATATTATAATTATTTCCTTTAGTTCCTAGAGGAACATATGGTTTCAACCGCACGTCTCCTTGCGTTCGGTTCTCTAGCAACGTTTTCACCTGGCTCCACGTCTGCCCACATGCTTTCATCTCCTCTTTGCATGACTTCCTTCATGTCAACCTTGCACTGACGACCAACTCGCCGTTTCCCATTCAAGTCCCACTCGAGCGATGGCCTAGCGTGTCATGCCACTTGATGGTTTGTTTTCTGAGAATATGGCCAATCCACCTCCATTTCTTCCTGCAGATTTGTTGCACAGTCGGTTCCTGGTTGGTTCGCACCCACAGATCCCTGTTGCTGATTTTTCTGGCCATCTGATCTTGAGTATTAAGCGAAGACAGCTGTTGATGAAGGTCTGTAGTTTGTTCGAAGTGTTCTTCCTGGCGCGTCGTGTCTCTGATCCATATAGTAGCACTGACTTCACATGTAGAGCCATTAGCAACTACGGCACTACACATTTTGAATACGGAATCCCTATAATTTATATGGAGGATAGTTGTTACAACTAGAGACTTGGCATCTCCAACAGATTGCTCTCCAGACTTCCATCAACAGATGTTCCCATTCGATGGTACTGAGGATCAGACGGTCAAAAAGAAAAGATTAGCAGCAAGGAACTTTGACAGTAAACCAAAGAAAAGAGCTTTATTGTCTAACAAATATGCCAGAGAAAATAGAAATAAACTAGATACCGGCTAAGGAGACCGTTGAATGAGAAACACGTGACATGCTCTAGAATGGAATCCGAAAGGAAAATGACGAGTTCGATGTGGACCCGACGGTGATACAGATGAGATCATCGGAAGAATGGATGAAAGTTTATGGGCAATCGTAGAACTGACAAAAAAAGAACTGAAAAGAACAGAATACAATAAAGATGTGCTGCTGAAGTTCCAAGTAACACTGGAGACCTAATGGAAAAATAATAATAATAATCATAATTGGTAGAATTAATTTGTCCGACTTCTATCGTGACTCATAAAGAATAAACTGAACTTTTAAAAATAAATGTAAGCATAGCAGGAGTAAGTGCTTACCCGTATAACATCAGTCATATCATAAGCACTTGTAGGCTCTAAAGGAACAACTGTATTTAAAGATGGTACTAAACGATCAACTGGATCATGACATTCTTGAATTGGTGATTTTTCTTTATTCGAAGACGGTAGAAAGGTTAGAAATCTACGTAATGATAAGAGAGCATCAACATCATTGTCGAAGGCTCGATGAGCTACCCCCGAAACTGTTGTATGTGTCTTAGCACCGCCAAGTTCTTCCTAAAATAAGAAGGGGTGAAAACAATGCACTTTATTGATTATGATTAATGGGAGTTGGAATACACATTAGCAGAATTTATTTAAAAATAAATGGCGATTTTCATGGGCGCTGTTACAAATACTAATCAAATCTATGTACTTAACCCAAAAAAGCATGACAACCGGATCGAACAACAGACATAGAAAAATTAGGCGAAACGTAGGATGAATAGTCAATTTTGATAGGAAGAGATATGGCTAAAATGCATATGAAAGGTGATTTATTATTTTTTATTATTGTTCCCTTGGGTTCCTAGTGGAACATAGGGCTTCAACTGCATGTCTCCACTTGCTTCTGTCTTGCTTATGCTGTACTTTTCACCTGTATCCATGTTAGTCCATACTCTTTCAACTCTTCTTCACACGATCTCCTCCATGTCACCCTTGTACCGACGTCCCACTCGCCGCTTCCTTTTCGGGTTCCACTCGAGCAATGACCTGACGCGCGCGCGATGCCACCCAGCAGCCTCCTTAGCGAGTGCCCATTCCATCTCCACTTTCTCCTGCATATTTTTTGGTCGATTGGTTCCTATTTTGTTCTTTCCATAGTTTCTTGTTGGTGGTTCTTTCCGGCCCGGCCATCTGATCTGACATTCAGCATAGAGAGAAGACAGTTGTTGATAAAGGTCTGCAACAGGCTGGCTGTTGGAAATATTCTTTGTGACCCGCCCGCCAAGTTTCTGATCCGTGTAGGAGAACTGACTTGACTTTTGTATTGGGAATCCGACAGAATTTTGTTGTTGATGTTGGCTGAGTGACGAAGATTTCCAGATTGGTTTCAGGTTGATGTGAATGTGTTTCTCGCCTTCCCGATTCTCGCTCGATTTGACATCCTCGTCCGTTCCTCCTGTAGTTGAGACAATGTTCCCTAGATAAGTGAATAAAGTAACCTCTTTCAAATCCCTCCCGTTGATGGCGATTGACTTTGGATGTTGCTGTTGTTGTTGTTGGTTATTTTCATAACCTCCGTCTTGTTTATGGTCACATGGAGTCCCGTCTTTGCTGCTTCTTCGACCTGTTTGTCGGTTTTCGCTTTTACATCTTCGATTTTGTGTGACACCAAACATAAATCATCCACGCGCGAAATCCAGGTCTTCTAAATTCTTCACGTCGGTCCAGAATATCCCTGTCTTCTCCTTTCCCACTGTCTGACACATAATCCAGTCCACCAAAATTAGGAATATCATTGGTGATAATAGGCACCCTTGTCTGACTCCTGTGTTTACTCGAAACGCCTCTCTGAGTTTTCCGTTGTGGATCACTTGACATGTTCCGTTGTCGTACAGCTGTTGAATAAGGTTGATGAATATTTGGGATACGTATGAAAGGTGATAAGCCCATTTAATAGTTCACAGTTTGAAACGATTGATAGAAACTGAAATTTCTTGGCTGAAAATAGAGGACAGTAAACTTTGTGTGTACATTATTTTTATCAATTCACCACACTACGCAGCACACATAGTTAGAGAAAAGAAAAAATTCAAAAATACTACCTGGAGAAGAAACGTGTGGGGGAAACAAGAGAAACATGGAAATCATCAGTGTAGCGTGTGCTACTGATACGATTTATCAGTAGTATATAAAGAGACGTTCATTGGCATAAAAACATCAAACAGCAAGGAGATAGATTTGACATCAGAGAAAGTGAATGATTCAGCATTGCAAAGAAATACGGGAGACGTGGATAGGAAGACAAAGAAACACAATATGAAGGCAGGGCAGAAGTAGCAGGCACAACACGGAAGATTTGTGCAAGTGGTGATTTCAAGCATAAGATGTATATAATTTCGCTGCATAGAGATACCAAACCTCTAGTCTCCTACCGTTGCATAAATAAATTAACGGTGGAAGAAATGAAAAAGAATGGATGCATCTGTTCCAGTAACACTGATTTTGAGACATATCACCAACAGTATTAAGCCACTGGTTCTTAGCGTTTCGACGACCGAACTCAGACAGTCTACGTCTTCCCATATGACTCATAAAGACAGTTAAAGACTTCATGGTTTGATGGTGTGTTTTGATTTGACTACTCCCAACTCTTCTCGAAGCTAATCCTATATCAGCTAGCATTGTTGAACGGAGACGGCGGGGGGGGGGGTGCAATGACTCAGCATGTGCAACATGTGTCCTAGCCTTCTCAGTCGATGTAGCTTCATGACCCAATCGACTGACCTCCTCTCATTAAATAGCACTTTGCCTAACCTGGATAGTACTAACCATTTTATACCAGTGAACACGGTATATAGAACACTAACATCTATGGTTAAAAAAGCTGGTCTGTTCAAGTCTTCCACTTTCAACGGCCAGGTACCACAGCCATAAATCAGGATAGAGTGAACTGCTGAGCGATATACACTCCGTTTGCTGGATAGCTAGATATCATGTCTGCGCCAAAGATGATGCGAGTTGTAAAATATCAAACCAACCTTGTACATTCGAGCTGAGATTTCGTCATAAATCAATCCATCAAGGCTGGTACAACTTCCCCAATAAGTGAAGTGACCAACATGACCAACCACTACACTTCCCACCTCTAAACTCGAAGTCAGTGAAGGTCAGTCATGCAAAATCACCTTATATTTAACAGGAGCAAATCACAAACCAAACACATCACGACCTGTGCTTGGTGTGTTCAGAAGACTCTGTATTTTGTCAGCGTCTTCTAAATCGACAAGATTATACCATGGTAACAAGTCAATCTCTAGGCTAGTAAATTTGGTTGGAATCATATCTGTTATTACATATGTGAAGAACACAGATGAAAAACAGAGACATTGAGCACCAGTGACGGATACACCTGGCTGTCTTTCACGAAGCAGAAAACTCCCTATAAGTTCTTATACGGGTGCGTCACTCAGAACAGAGTACCCTGATTAATATGATAAACTCTGTTGGTACCCTCTTCACAGATATGCATAGTCCTTCGGTCGACAGAGTCGAATGCCGCCTTCGGGTCAAGAAATATGGTAAGTACACCTATGTTCTGGAATTTGTCAAAGGATGAGGATATGATCGATACACCCTCATCCTGGCCTGCAGCTTAACTCATTTTCTCGGATTTTATTCTCCAAAGCACCGCTTGTTCTATACATGATTATTGAATCTAGAATTCTAGATACTGTGTCAGTCAAGTTCACCCTTCTATATTTTGCCTTCCTTATAATCAATAATTAAACCAGTCTAAAGGGAATATTTTCAAGTATTGGTTTTATAGGAATTTAGTTTGATTGGATGGAGGCCATTGGGCCATTGGATCGAGTCCCAGTGGCTCAATGGTCTACGAGCTCGCTAGTCTTGTAACCAGAAGCTCCTGGGTTCGAACACTGGCGGTGTGTGAAGAGTCCCAAACTAGGACGAAACATCTGTCCAGTACTCTCTGGCGGTTTTTCAGTGGTTCTCTAACTGATGCCAACTGATGATAAAGGGAATGTCTCAGATCCCCAGCTTCTACGTAATATCTTAGTTAACCCAGACAACAGTTCATCACTACTGTTCTTGAGCACTTCCAAAGTCATTCCATCAGGTCTCATAGCTTTGCCTGGTTTCAGATTAGAGACAGTCTAAGCAAACTCATTTGCAGTATCATTACTACGATGTACAGTAAACTTAACATTCAATAAAACAATGTTGGTATCACACAACCTAGTCAGTATATCTATTTCTGAATGGTGAATGTACACTTTAGGTCATTAATATAGTAAAGAAAAACGGTATCACTGAACCCTTAAAAATTCATCGAGACTGCATATTAAAATAACAACATGAAATATCAAATGTTTAGTGTAAATCATCCAAACCATTAGACACTAGCTTGGTACTTGAGTACGAAAACAGTTCAAACTCATGTCTGAGCAAACAAAGAGTTTTGTACCTTTGAAATATAAACGCAAACTGGTAAAGTGTCTGGTTCATAGAGCTAGGTTATTCTGTTCAGACGACTGCCTCAATGAGGAGCTTAAGATTATTAGAGAATTACTTAGAAAAAAATGGTTACCGGATAAGTTCATTGAGAAAAATATGAATTCAGCAGTACCTAGGAGAGTCAGTATGGCAACAGTTCCGAAAGAAACCACTGTCCATAAAAATGCAGTTCCTCGGTGACGACATCAGCTAAATAATAACACAACGACTGAATAATGCAGTTAAAAGAGCTTATTATGCAGCAGAGGTACATTGTCTCTTCACAACCACCCCTATTCTACGTTCGACAAATAAGGATAAACTGTCTAAGTTTTCCTCCTCCTCCATTTGTATCTACCAGTTTGACTGCAGCTGCGGAACCAGATACATTGGGCGTACAATTAGGCAGGTTCATCATCGTATTTCCGAACATCATCCATCATGGTTAAGCAAGGGATAAACACGATCTATCCGTAGCTCTAGTTTAGCACACCTTGTAGATAGTGAGCATAAGGTTGACGTTAATACTGCATTTAAAATTATATTTATCGCATTCCAACTAATCTTAATTTTGCTTTACGAGTTCGTCTTCTAAATACAGCTGAAGCAATAGGAATCCACCTGAAGAAGCCAAACCTGTGTGTTCAGAAGAAATTTGTACAGACACTTTCCTTGCATTGGCCATCGTTACATAATTGTATAAACAGGACTACTTCACCCTGCTCCTCCCCTTAAAAACCTTCAAAAATTATAGAAATTATGATTGTACAAATTATTTTATTTTTTCTGACTATTTCATCTTTAATTACATGTTATCCTTGTAAAATTATTCTTATGACCACTTCATCCTTAGTTACAAATTATCATTGTCCAAATCGTTTTATTTTCTTTAACAATCTGTTACGTGATCAACCTAAGTACACGTTTATTGCTTATTTACTCTTCAATTTTCCGAAATTATGGCATTATACAATCCACTTGTTGTAACCATTTCTACCTTTTAATTGTGTATATTAATTTTCCTCGTTAATTATCACCCCCATTGACATTTTGACACTGACTAATTACTGTTAACAAACATATCAGTGCCACTTGATTGGCAAACTGTTGTGTATTGTAATAAAAAGTGCTATAGGTGTATATTAGAGTAGAGCCAGAGTGAGATGAGGATCTAATTGGAAAGTAAATATCTCTTCGTTCAATCTTTCTGTTTTCTAAATGTCTAAATGGGGATTTTTTCTACATATTCAAACAAAGAGTATCATAAACACTGGAGTGGAACAACCGTTATGATGTGTAATTCCATATCAGTTTGTTTATCAGATGTATCACACAGTGAAGACACAGTATTATTTACTGGATGACGTTTCGAACAAAATTTATTGTTCATAATCATATCAGTTATAATCAAACGACTTCGAAACTTGAGTTTTATAGCTTTCTTTGTTCTCTCCTATTTGCTGTTGTAGGAGTAGTAGAATTCTCCAGATATCTGGGACAGGTGTTGAATCATTTCTGTTACATGTGTTTACAGTTGACTCTCTCTCTCTCAACCCTGTTACATTAGATTTTAAAACTATCATCCTATCCCATCCTACTGTATGGTTGTGCGTAATTGCACGTAATGCTATGTCTGAACTATTCTCTAGGTTTCTTATCTTATTTGGGTCAACCAATTTAGATTTTTCCACTAGATTTTTATGTTTGGCTAGTCTGACTGTCCCCGTTCTACTACTTTGGCCTATGTATTTGACCTGACAATTATTGCAGCCAGGGTATTAGATAAACTAAATTGTTTTGTTCTAAATGCTTCACAGGATCCTTTAACGGACAAAGCTTGTTTCTAATTGAGTTTGTGGGTTCTAATACCACTTTTGTTCCTGCCTTGTTAAGAATTCTGCGTAAGGTTTCCGAGGTTCCTTCCTTGTATGGAATTACTACTGATGATTTAGATTCTTTATTATTGGTATCGTCAATATTATTATTATTGTCACTATCATTATCATTATTATTGTTATCATTATTATTATCATTATCGCTACTATCATTATTTATTTTATTTTCACATTTACTTACATATTTCCTGACTGATTTATCCAGGTAATTATTAAGTTTCAAGGCTTCTTTTATGTGTATCACTTCCTGTCTTAGATAGGAGAAGACAAAGAAAACCATAAAACCCAAGTTTCAAAGTCGTGTGATTACAATTCATATGATTATGAACAATACTGAATATTGTTCGAAACACTATCTATCATCCGGTAAATAATACTGTTTCACCGACTGTGTGATACATCTAATAAACAAACTAATATGGAATTACTTACTACCACAGTGCCCAAGTTTTACATATATATTAGCCATGATGCGTACTGTATTTCACTTTAAAAGTGAATTACAAGTACTGATATTTGAACATAGAATCGTTTGTTCAGCGGTAGGATGCTCTCCAATCAAGCACGTATACCGACGCAGCGCTTAACCTCGCTTAGACAGCAGTAAAACTAGTAAAGAGGGAAAGCTGGGCGTGAGGCCAGCATTCCTATACAGTAAGAACAACAACATCGCTACTGGAAATTCAAAAATCAAGCCTGTTCCACCCTGAATGCAAAGGAATGGAAAACGTGGAATCTAGTGACAATATGCGAAATATTACCATAACAGCAAGTCAGTATTAAAGACTATAATAAAAATTCGCTTACCTGTGTAACATCCTCATTGGTAACAGACTTCACAACATCTGGTCCAGTGATAAAAAGGTAGGATGTATCATGTACCATAAAAATGAAGTCAGTCAGTGCAGGTGAGTATACAGCGCCACCAGCACATGGACCGAGAATAACAGATATTTGTGGAATTACACCTGAAGCATTCACATTCCGTTGAAAGATATCAGCATAACCGGCTAAAGAGGCAACACCCTCTTGAATACGAGCACCACCCGAATCGTTCAAACCAACAACTGGAGCACCAACTAACATTGCTTGATCCATTATTTTGCATATTTTTTTAGCATGAACAAGACTCAGGCTACCACCGAATACAGTGAAATCTTGACTGAAACATTAAATATACAAAAAATGAATCTTCAGCAATACTAGAATTTTTAACGAAGTGAGTAAACATCTCTACGCTTTGTAAAAATCAGTATCTGTGAGTTAGCACCTGGGAATTAGATTAGGCATTCTAAAGACGACAGAAGTAAAAATGCAATTCGTAGTGACCATATATAAAGCGATAAGTGTAGGCAATAAACTGAATAAATAAATAAATAAGTAAATACAGATCAATATAAAATTATAAAAACCTGACATTTATAAAGTTGATTCGTTTTGTTGGATACATATTTGAGAAGCAGTTTAATTGGCCTACAACCACGCTCAACCTGCCGAACATCCAACACCTCCCTAAACGGGATATAGACACAGGTCCTCCGTCCCTAACTGAGGTTACTAAAGCCGTCACTAGTCTGAAACAAAGCAAAGCAGTAAGACCTGATGGAATGACTCCAGAGGTATTTAAGTACGGTGGAGAAAGTTTACTGTCTGCGTTAACTAAGGTACTAGGTAGCGTCTGGGAATCAGAGGAAATCCCGTTGGGTTGGTGTAAGTCACTGATCATATATACATACAAGAAGGGAGACAAGTCTGAATGTGATAATCAAAGGGGTGGATTAGCTGACTAATATGGTATCTAAAGTCCTAGGCTCAATAATAATGCGTAGACTAAGTGGTGGTCGGGAGGCACAAACACGAGAGAACCAGGCAGGCTTCAGACCAGGAATAGGGTGTATTGATGATATATTCACTCTTCAAGAGATTCTGGAATATAGACATACTTAGCGGCGTCCAACAATCGTCATATTTCTTAACCTGAAAGCGATATTCGATTCTGTCGAACGAGAGGTACTCTGGCGATGCATGACTGTAAAGGGAATGCCGAGGAAAGACATTGCACTGATCAAGGCAGTCACTCTACTCGAACTCATGCAGCCAGGTGAGGGCTTACTGCGAGTTGTCATCTGAGGTGGTGACGACTAGTGGTGTCCAACAGCGATGCCCACTATCCCCATTTCCATGCAATTTCATCATAAATGTACTAATGAAATTAACCTTAACTGACTTCAGAGTCTCAGGGTTTGACTTGTTACCATGCTATAATCTCGTTGATTTAGAATATGCAGATGACATAATCCTTCTAGGTGAAGACGCTGACAAAATCCAGCAGAGTCTTCTGAACACCTTGAGGAGCTGCAATCTACGAATGTTTGGCATGAGATTCTCTCCCGCCAAATGTAAGATGATGTTACAGGAGTAGATTGGACTACACTGACTCTTAGCTTAGAAATAGGCAGTGAAGTCGTACAGCACGTTGACCACTTCACTTATGTGGGAGGTTGCATCAGCCAATGCCAACGGGTTGATCGCTGACGAAATCTCAGAACGGATACAAAAGGCTCGGTTCGCATATACCAGTTTACACCGTCTCTGGTGTAGACGTGATATCCGGTTATCCATCAAAGGGCGGGTGTACTGCTTAGTAGTACTCTCTGTCCTCCTATATGGTTGTGAGACCTGATCATTGAGAGACGAAAACATGAGAAAGCTAGCTGTCTTTGATCATAGGTGCCTGCGTTCTATATCCCATGTGAAGTGGTATAAAAGGGTGAGCAATATTGAGGTTAGGCGTCGAGTGCTAGGTAAGGAGAGGAAACCAATCGACGAGGCTGTGAAGCTACATCGACTGAAATGGTTAGGACATGTGTTACGGATGCCTAGCCATCGCCTTCCTCGATGAGCAATGTTAGCTGACATAGAGTGATAAAGTGACCTAGAAGCACGAAAAGCATTTAAATGAAAGAATATAATTCTTTTCAAACAACAATTACCTGCTTAAAATTGTTATACTGGGTTACACTTAAATTTACCAGTGCTGTCCAACAAAATTTTACTGACTAAGAAAACTGACGCGTTATACTTAGATGTATAGTTCACTGGCTTTAGTTATGTAAACATGAAAAGTGCATTATACACTTTAAAACTGAATATTGAGTGGAAATGACATTTATTTGTGATTCTGGCAAAAATTAATCCAATAAGAAAACCTCATAATTAATTTTCCAATATGCTAAATATGCGAAAACTGAATTTCACTCACCTGAACAAATAAATCGTACGTCCATTGACTTGACAACGACCAGTCACAACACTATCACAGGGGATTTTTTGTTTCTCCATATTAAATTCATGACAATCATGCTCCATAAAAGCATCATACTCGATAAAGGTTCCGGCATCTGCCAACAGTTCTATACGTTCACGAGCTGTCAACTTTCCACGCTTATGTTGGGCCTCTAGACGTTTCTCCCCACCTCCAAGAAGAAGCTTTGCTCGAGCTTCTTTGACTTTCTGCCTGACATCTAGAGTATTTGCTACGCCACTTATGCTTCTTATACTCACATTCTTCAACGTAAACCCTACTTTATAAGTAGTACGAAGAATGTAGAACATCTGAAAAGAAACAAACAATTGAACATACGGCAAAAATATGACAAGTAAACTTGTCAAACAATCACATCTAAGTAAGAAATCAACCCTTTATAACGTCAAGCACACACTAAGCTACATTTATACTGATGAATAGAACATTTTTCTCAACAATGTAATGAATGTCACCTTCAATTTGGTGGTTTAATGGTAAAACAGCCACTTGTCATGAGGTAGTCACGGTTTCGATCCCTAGCTAACACATTTCTAAAACTTGCCCAGCCGGTTGTCAGCAAGAAATGAGGAGAGGTTTGGCATGACGCCATCAATCCTACCCCGTAAAAACAGCGCTACAGTTGTTACAACTTCAACTTTTGAAGCCTTCTGTCTCACTCAGAACACAAGGAATGAGCAAACGGCATAAAGAATAGCTTTCCAGTAATCTTCAGCTCTCGGTACGTGTAAACAAAAGTGACGGATGTTGTTAAAGTGTCATCACTGACAAATTTTCTGGGGTACTACACTTCATGTAAGAAAATCTAGGCGAACGTAACAAGAGCGAAAAAATACAAATATGAATTCATACAGCTAATATATCTTCTTCCGTGTGTCGTTAATTCTTTCATAATCTACTGGTACTTTTCACAAGTACATAATTTAAAAACAAGGAAATGTTTCATGACAAAGTTTGTTAAATGGGAAATTAATCTGACGCATCATCCGCTTGCAGAAATCTAAACACCAAACCTTCGAGATATTGCGGACGAACCATGGCAACACTTTCGAAGAATTGATACAGTTCCCGACAGCCAAAAGTGCACCGAACGTGACAGAAAATGGATAGTAAACATTCTCCAGGCACAGGAACCATAATATACCTGATATTTTGCGACATCACAGGTGACAGACACTTTCACCAAAGTGACACGAATAACGTACATCAGACTCCAGCAGTTACTGAGCGTCAACATCAAGCACTCATTCGGGGTGTAAAGTAAGTCCTGATCGGATATTGGTTTACTTGAAGACGACAAATCTGAAAGTTAGGTTTGCTAATCTGACTTTTGCTACGCATAAACTTCCTTCAATCAGGAGACGGATGAGTGGGGCATATCTGGTGTAGGGAAAATTTTGACATGATGTGACGTAAGTATACGTAGAAAAAGTTTAACACTGTATGTATCTCACTTTTCCCATGTTCACGAAAAAAATAACAACTTACTTTATGCAACTGCACAGATTCATAAACCTGTGGTAACAGAGGTATAAGCAGTTATATATATATATATATATATATATATATATATATATATATATATATACAGAGAGAGACTGGTGCCTCAAAAACATCGAGTCAATTGACTCGAAGCGACTAATCGACCCTCCTACATCTGCCCACATATGGTGTATTTAGCAGAACAAATACCTATTTTGTGTTTTTGGGTCAGAATGCATCACACCAACAAACTGAACGGATTCTGTAATGAGGCTGTGTTTTTTGAGAGTGAGAAAATATGCTTAAGCAATTTAATGATATGATATGTTTGCAGGCTAGAAAGAAACATTAGGTAACCATAAATCATCAGAAGAATAAAAAGGTCTGTGGGTGTGCACAAAATGTTCTGGAGACGTGCTTGCTGTTGTTAAACTGTCCGTAAGCTCGGTAAATTGTTCTGCGAAAATAAGGAGATCAATTAAAATAAACTCGGGTTGACTGACCTTGAAACGGCCAATCAGAGAAGAAGTCCGAAAACCCTCGCAGCAAAACAGCTAGTTTGCCACCTACAAAATAAAATTGCTGAATCAAAATTAAATGAAGATGAGGCTTAAATCCATAAATAATACTCATAACCCATATCTCGACTGGAGATCTATTTTCGATTGGTTGTTTCAAGGTCGTCAACTCAAATACTTCCTCCAGCTGCAAGTTTCCAAATACTGGGTTGATCTTGACCTGCTTTTCAGCTTTACACTACCCTAATGATGTTTACCTATTTTCTTAGTTGTTTTTAAGTCTCCTAGGGTGTAGAAAAATAATCGGTAGTAGAATTTGCGTTGTATTGCCGATATTAAACCTTCCCGTCAACATGCCCACTGCATGCAGTATGACTACCATGCTGTAGATGTACATGCGTCTTACCGTTTCGAGTTGTTAAAATTTTGCTGCACATAGTATTTGAGTGACTTCTTGGTTCAATGCTTCCAGTTGAAAGTTCAGATGTTTTTAACGCTTCACTTAAGTGAGAATTCTCAAGAGTAAGTGGATTTCTGCACTCTCTTTTTTAGAACCAACTTTCCTTGTGTTGTGGACTACAAAAGCTTGTACATAAACTTTAACTTGGTCTATTCCTGTTAGCCAGTTTTATAAGCTTTTGGTTCTAATTTTTGGTTTCCAATTTTGGGTCATATCTGTCATCCTTTCATAGTGACGCCTTTCCGTTCCACTGAGAAAATAGCGGCCGAAAATAGCCGTTGTGGAAGCCTGACGTACCCTTTCCCAATAATAGGTAGTATGCAATGTGATTACTGCGGTCGATAGTTTCACATGATATGTATCAGCCTGCCTTCCACATCGGATAAAGGTTGTTGCAAGTCTCTCACACAATGGCTGTGCAATGGCTGTCGCGACTCAACAGAACACCTTGTACAAGATTCGGTTGGACTGCCCAATATGGCGCTGAAGTTCCTCCACTGCAGTACTACTTTTCAACAAGGAACAGTCCCCGGATATCCATCATATACTCATAGACAAATCCAAAAGTAACAATGATGAATCATCATTATAAGATCTTTTCTACGACAAACTTATTCCTCCAAAAGGAAGAGACGCAGCATGTGTCGTCGACTTACGGCAGAACGCGTGGCATAGAGTGCCGATGCTGCAGTTCAAGCCTTTCTTATAGTACATATATGTGGTAGGTATTCGCCACCAAACACAGGTAGAGAAAATCGCCTCCTGCAAAGGACCAGGCGAGACCACTACGCAAGACCCATCTCCCTTGGGAGATAGGAAAATAACGTTTCTCCGAAGCCTATCATGCTAGACGTGATCTTCCTGAGTGGTCGGCCATCCCCCACTAAGCGAATGATTCGAAATCTAAATTCAGGTTGGAATATGGTCTAGGTCTAATCACACCAAATTCAGATGGGCTAATCCATACGTAGTTAACAGGCATGAATATTCACTCTGCTCAGATGGCCAAAAGGCTGACTCGCCAGAAAGTCAGTTGACGCGTCTTCTCAAAGTCACGGAAAGCCCGGAAACTGAGGAAGATTTGAATCTTGATATTTCTCATACCTCCAGTACCTGATTACAGAAACTGAAGTTAACCTACAGCACACAACGTTCAGGACAGGCCTACTACAAAAGGACTAGATAAGTAATTTCCCTTAAGGTGAACCTGACTCTGCTTAGTATAAGAGTTCTCACATACAAAAGCGAATCATCAGAGCTACCGCACCACAAACTGAAACTAAAGAGAAAAGACGCTGTACATCATAGTCCCGGACGCACAGTGGATTACTGTCCCACAGGGGAACTAGGCTAATGAACACCAAATTGTTAGCGTCTTACAATCGGTTATTTTAACGCCCATCAGTCAACTTGAAACGGTTTACAACGGCATTCTCAGGCGGTCCTTTCGACTGCGGGCTGGCGGAATCCCTCATTTCACTGATTTCGATATAGCGCCTTAGGAAACTCACACCCTATAGTTTCCGCAACTCCTCCTCGACCTTGAATCTGATTTCCCTTCAAAGATGAGACGCTAGCCTCATGCGGCATATTCCATGCGTCGTAAGAAGTGATCACCCTGCTCTTACCCGTAATTTCACATCTGCTGAAGTAAAGTGGAACAAACAGAGTCCGGAGAGAGGTGTGGAGAGTCTAGATAATAGTCGTTATTTCCGATGCCTCATCATGGAAATGCTTTACAGATCCAATAGCTAATGTGGGAGCTGCGTCAGACAGTTTCACGGGTAATCGCCAGAGTTCAAAAACACTACCGCCCATGGATAAACTTGAAGGTTCTTGAGCTGCTTAAGCACATAGCTGCCATCTTCAGGTTGTCCCCCTCACACAATATATCATCCTCTAATGGGGAGAACGCAAAAACAACCCCCATAACGAAGAAAGGCTTAGGATTATCGTCCAAACTGCACGCTTGTTAGTCTTGCCAGTACCCTGGACAAGACACTAGAAAATCGAGGACCGGGAGCATTACTAATGACTAGGTGTATTACTATGGTTGACTCTTGGTGACCGATCAACGCACCTCACTCAGTATGTCCTAGTTGAAAAATTCCAGAGTCAATCGAAATTGTTTTCGAAAAATGTTTTCATATCAGCCTGACATTGTTGCACAACTTTATTACAAGCCTATATTTTGCGTTATGAAGTGGCACTGACATATTGTCTGATGGAAAAAATGATTCCGTAAGCAATGGTAAAGAATTAACATAGTTGAAAGCAATTTACATATTGTGATCCCGGGCATCGTTGTTGTTTGAATTTCGCGAGAATGCGCGTAACAACTGAAGGCATCGTTACATTTGGCAGATACGTTAAGCTATTCACTAAAGTATAAAATTGGCATGCAAAACTCCAGTTGGTTTACGGTAATAATGCTTTAAGCAATATCATCTGTAGGTGGCTGACCACCGCTGTTAGTGTCCAGTTAAAAGTTTAGGTGTATTATCAAATCCACAGTAATCAGCAACACTGTTAGGAACCAGAATAACTGTGAACTGATCCAAACAGAACGACAGAAAAAGCATGCTGGAGCCAAATATTACCATAGAATGACTCAGTAAAATTTTGAAGTACGATTGTCGGCATGTTTTCATTGTCCATTAGGTGGTGGTAACGGTCCAACGATGTCAATTTGTATGTGTTGGAACAGGTTCTGGAAACAGGCCATCAAGCGAAACTGTATGTCGTTGTACTTTTGACTTTTGGCAGGCTAAACATGCTCTGGTTCACTATATAATCTAACGATTCATATTTGGCCATATAAGCATATATCGGCCACTTATCAATTTAACTGTTGCTTGGATGCCAGAGTGAGGAATGCCATGTATTTTGGAGAAAACTGATCCTCGCATTTCTAGTGTTAATAATGTAAATTTTCATATAAACATATAAATTTACATGAAAATGCATGCCATTTTTACAGACACCATCAAGTATGATATAATATCAAATCGTAGATTGTCTACAAGTTAATAATGTTTAAACAGATAAATATTTGACACATGTATATAAATGCGCTTATTGTCTGAACTAGGCCGTATAGTTATTGAATTGTACAGTTGTCCTCCAGGTTGCGCGGAAGACTCGACTTCGTTTCGTTTTCATCCCGTGGTTGTAGGCATACGATAACCAACCAATATTGAGGTAAGTACAACGTTTACAAGGGATTGAAAGCTGTTTTAGAAAAGTAAAAGTGCTAAGGTGAATCACTAAAGTGTAATGAAGTAAGTAAGTGCAATATATCATTAATAGATGCATTTATAAAGGGAATACAGTGGGAAACAATTCAATCCGTAGGCTGACAACGTTCATTTGCATTGTATAATAATGCCAATATAGGTCTTACTACCACGATGTCCACTTTTGGTTTTAATACATTTATCCTAATTTCGGTTTTTTCTATTGTGTGCCTTTTTGTGCATTTGGTGCACAGCCGTGCCGTAGAGAGAATAGGAATAGAATGAGTCGAATCGAATTCATAAAGAGCTATAAAATGTTAGGTTCAATAGAATAGAGTGAGTATCAAGTAAAGACGTTATTGGAAAATAAATGAGATGAGACATTGTGAAGTGGTATTCAAAGATCCGATAATGGATAGCAAGTTAACTTATAAGATGCCCCATAAATCTGTGCAGAGCCCATGTGGTCGCATCACAACAATAGGCTGAGCGAATGGTATATGTCTAAGGCAGAAGCATGATCTGTCTAGGCGTTCATTATTATCTTCTTCAAGATAAAGATCTAAGCCCTCATAAAAATCAGAAAAATTTCGAGCCGTCAAATTGCATATTGCTGTTTCTGCAGAATGGGGCGATTCACCTTAGTGACCACCACCATATCTACTGATCAGCTAGCACCACCCTCCCTCCTTTTTTGATGTTAGGCTCTGAGACTATGATTATTATGGCTACCGCAAATATATTGCTAGGGACCAGAAATGTTCGTACCTCATATTCCATCTCCCTAGCCTTCTTAATGAGTGCTTCCAATAGGTTTCCACGTACATCTTTATGAACATATTTTATATGTATGCATGCATCCTAATGA